GTGAACATGCTTGCCTTGTCTTCCATCCCTGCCTGTCTGCAGACGTCTTGGCAAGTCTGGGCAAATGAGGACCCAGATTGTTGGGGGCAATATGCTGACTCTCTGTAAACCGCTTAGAGAGGCCTGAAAGGCCTATGAAGCGGTATATAAGTCTACTGCTATTGCTATTGCAATTGGACAATGCACTAATGATAAAGGTCTTTGTCTCCAACTGGCCACTTTCCAGATATATTAAAATAACAAAATTCCCAGCCAATCTGGCTTGAGATTTAATCAAAGAACAAGATTTTGTGCTTTCTTCTCCTGCTTTCCTCTGAATTCTTCAATCATCTTCATTATAGCTTCTTTTTTCTTACCATTGTACTTGAGTAGAAGAACTGGAAATAAATCTAATTTCCATGGTTGACTCTTGAATTTTAAATTATGATTTTTAAAGAGGAAGCCAAATATTTGATAAGGTTCTATGGGATATACTGTATATAAAGGCAGCATATTGCAAGGCAAAATCCCCCCTCACATTTTCTGATTTTAGAACTGTTTGTTCCCCTAGAAGCAGAGAAATCATGAAATGTATTTATATTGGCCTCTGACTAAATTGGCTCAGCTTACTGTCAAATAGGCCCAAGAATTTGTGTGCCATAGTTAACAATCCTCTCTGTTACACCACCTTTTACATAAACCATTTTCACATTTGAGACAAGTGGAATACTAATAACATATCTGTGTTCATTATCCCAGTAATTATACTTGGCACTCTGAGATAAAAAAGGTAATATTTTTCTTTTCCACGTAACGGAATTAATTAGAAGACCAAGAAAATAATGTTATCTAAGCAAGAGAAGTTACTGATGGGACAGATTTCTTGTAGAATGAGTGTCTTAGGAAAGTGACATACTATTCCTGTGCTTCTCCAGAGATCCCTTTAACAATCTAACCCTTACTGGTGCTATTTTTCCCCTCTAGACCCAAAATATCAACAGGTAAACCTTATGCAAGGCTTATTTCAAGGTGGTGTTTTTTACAGTACTAGAGAGAATGTAAATACAGTATTTGCTTCTTTGCTGTAAGAATCTTGATTTCCCATGCTCTCTTCTCTTTTTTTTTCTTTTTTCTTTATTCCCTTTCCCTATTCCTCCTTTTTATACTTGCAGCAGATGATAAAAGGTATGTGTGGCTTTATGGGCTGGTGAACTGTGCACATTTGAAAAATCTTCAATGTTCCAACAATATGTCCATGGAGATGGGTGTCACCATATCTTGCAATTCCTTTTTGACCTACCAGGGTCCCTGCCCCATCTGATTTTACTTTTTGTTTTCAATTTTTATTTTTTTAAATGGGAAGCTGCAATATAAAGCTTGATCTCCAAGTATGAGTGGCAGAGACTATATTAGGAACTCAGAAGAGGTTATTACAAATTAAATGAAAATCTTTTGGCTTCTGGTCGTTGGTCTTAATATTCCAAATACATCTATAGGCCCAGGAAGATTGGGGCCTTAAATCAATCATTTTTTTCCATCTATCACATTTGTAGGCAGGTTGAATCATAAAGTCTTCTTTACCATCTGTCCTAGGGCAAGATGTTTGAATTACGGAGGGCCACCAAGTCCATTCATAAGCATTTTTATCTCTTTGGATTTGAAGTGCTATTCAGCTCTACCACATACTAAATAGATTACAACATAGTTATTCTTTGAATTACCTTCAATTTTGCCATCTGTCAACACAATAGATTTTACTATGTATATAGGAAATGATTCACTCAAAGTTTCTTGTTACCTTGATGGATGTGGTCTGAAAATTACATCCTTCCCCCCCCCCCCACAACCCATAATATTGCTGTTGCTTTATTGATTGAAATGTTGTCCTGGATTCTTTTTTATCTGCACTACTGTTCAGACAAGTGCTTTCCATTTTAAATAAATAAAAATAAGCGTATTGAAGCAGACCAATTCCAAAGACAGAGCTCACTAGCATGCCATTTGAAACCTTCCTCCAGGTTGACAGAGAAATAATTGGGGTCTTTCTGGCTTTTCATCCAACTGTGACTCCATTTGATTGTGTTTAGCAGATTGTTGAGCCAAAATATTATGGAAAAATGGAAAGTTGTTTCTTGAAGCACAGATAAATGGATGAAAGCTTCATATTATAAGAGATGTTTTCATGCAGTGTGCTTTCTCTTTCACACTTCTCCTTCATAAACGTACAGTATCATAAATAGCACAAAAGAAATTTGCTAATCTAAAATTCTGTTGTAGTTTGAGTACAGCAATCAAAAATATGCTGCAGTGAATGTTATAATATGAAATTCAATTATTATGAATAACACATGTGTGCCACACTGTAATATTTCCCAGAATAGTTATCTGAGGACCATTGACAGAAAAGGTGTTTGAAAAAATATAATTGTACTATAATATAAAGGTCAGTGACAGAAAAAAATGATGCTTTGCTCTTTATCTACAGTAGATTGCTGCTGCACAACAATAGGGTGGCAGTGGAATTGAATTTCAATTATAAAAATGAACTAGTATGTGTAGATTAAAGGAACAATTCTATATAAATTACTTGGGCCAAATGCGGAAAGCAAAGCCAATTAATTATAACAGAATATTTTTCTCCAAATAAATACATCAGGAAAGGTTTCATATCATTAAAAGTGAAGAGGCAGGCAAAACAAAATTTGTTATCATTTTGCCATGAATTGATAGGTATGGATAGTTCATAGCCTCCCATCTTGCCAATGTTCCCCTGTAGATGAAGACATATTCTGTATTCTTAATGTTGCTGGATTGTGGATACTTATTTGCTGTGATGTTCCTTCTTGGTTATTTTTTAAAATTTGCACAGTAGCTTGATTGTATTGCAACAAAGATTAGATCAAGCTGAGAAGCTCACATATCTGTTTCTGCACAAATTTCATTCCCTTCTCTTTTTTTTCCAAGTCCTGCTCCATTTATTTGTCCATAACCACACCCTTGGAATCTTAAGAACAGCCCCTTTTAAAAACAGGAAGTTTCTGCCTTCAGAGCCTTTGGCTTGTATTCTTGTTTTGCATTTTGATGAACTTGTTAGTTGTATCATTAACCCTATTATGAATTGATGATTAACGTACATTTATTCCCTCCAGCTAGAGTTCTGGTTCATTAGTTGGGGATATCTAAACAATTCCCATGGAGAGTATACAGCATAGTTGATTTTAGCTATTAAAATAGGAGTTGCAAACACAGTGCTTAAACAAAGGTTGAAGGGTATGGTAGCTTTATATGCTTGGCATTCGCTTTTTAAAGATGGTAGCCGATAACAAAAACACATCTTTTTGACAATTACACAAGTTAAACAAAAACTTTATTTAAATGCTGTATATTTTATATCCCTAGTGCCGCGTAACAGAGTGAGTTCTCGTTACTTGTCCCAGCTTCTGCCAACCTAGCAGATCGAAAACATGTAAAAATGCAAGTAGAAAAATAGGGAACACCTTTGGTGGGACAGTAACAGCATTCCGTGCGCCTTTGGCGTTTAGTCATGCCGGTCACATGACCACAGCGCTGGCTCTTTGGCTTTGAAACAGACATGAGCACTGTCCCCTAGAGTCGGAAACAACTAGCACATATGTGCAAGGGGAACCTTTACCTTTATATATTTTATTTCTTGGAGTGCTATTAAATATCTGAAATTGGTCCAGCAAAGGCAAATTAATAAATTAAGCCTTGTGCTTTAAAAAGTCCAAGATACATAGTGAAGTTTTGTGAAACCCCTTAAAACCCCTTGCTGCTTCCAATATGTTTTCCCTGTCTAGCTACAAAGGAATACCACTTCCCCATTGTTAACTGTTTCTACAATTGCTTTTCTATCCACAAACTGATTATCCACAGGGCAGCATAATCATTGTATTTCTTTTAATTTACAATAATTCCTCTGTCAGTTTATGTTCATATTACCAGCATGTTCTCCAATTCTTTTACAATATTGTGTGGCATTACTGTCCTAAAACAGTTTGCAAATAGGATTGAACCATATTCCAATGCCAATGGATGCCATTTTTCTCTCTGTGTATATATAGGGTCAAGAATTGACCATTCGTCAGATTTCCTTGCTTGGCTTCCGAGACTTGGTCTTATTAAGAGTAAAGTTGGATGAGATTCTTCCTCTGGTCCAAAGTAACCTTCCACCCTCCATTATCCAGATGCTGCTGATTTTACAGGTGTGTAATGGTCTTATTTCCACCTCTCTGAAATATTTTGTCTCAAAACATCCTATTCCAATTTTTCACTGGAAGCGTAGTGATGTTGGAACAGCCTATTTTAACATTAAAGTTTTTAATCTGTTTTAACATTGAAATGTATTGTACTGACATCCAAATGTATTGCACACCCCTGTTAATGAACATTAAACATACTGTAAGAGTGAAATTACTACTTTCCAAACAATTTATGAAAGAGAGAATTGTCTTTGGCCTGGAGCCGCAAATATTGGTTCCCTATATCACGGGTCTGTCTCACAGAAAGATATTGATGATATGCCTTCCTGCCGAAATGTCTTTAGGCTCATGCTGTAAGCATGACTCTTATGGAGAAAGTCAACATGATGCAGCCTTAATCATGTGTGTTGGGCAAGGTATTTTCAATTAAGAGGGCTGGATTTCTGACATCAGTCTTTCATTGATAAAGTTTGAGCTATCTAAAATCTGGTTTTCTGAATAATGAAATTAAGTTTAATGTTGCAATATAGGGGTTTCAGTGACTGTTTCAAGGATAATAGTTTTTGTTTTGTTTGGCTTGTTTTAAATTACCATGTCTGAGCTCCGAGCATGAATGTTTGCCTTCTTCTCATTTCCCCCCCAATTACAACTCTGATAGTTCTAACCAGCCTCCCACCTTGCCAATGTTCCCTAGTTACAATTCTGATGTTGGGAGAAAGAAAAAGAGAAAACATTAGGAATGCTGTCTTAAGTTGCTGGAATAATTTGCAAGAGAATTAAAACATCCATCACTTCCCAATTGGGTCACAAGTCCCGGGGAAAGATAATTTGCTTATATTCTTTGACTTGTTGGAATAGCCTGCTTGAGCTGGCTGTTGAGAGCATTTAGTAGGGTATTTAGTAGGGTAGGGTATTGTAGAACAGTGTTTCTCAACCTTCTCACTTGAAGATAGGTAGACTTCAGTTCCTAGAATTCTCCAGCCAACATATTGGTTGATATTGAGAAATAGTGCTATAGAAAATGATATAACTTATAACATCTACATCATAATCTAATACATATTTAAGTTTCTTTTCTTCAGTCAAATTAGAAAAATAAAAATGGACAAATAAAATGTGTTGATTTGCATACTCCAGGTATTTGACAAAATATATATTTTGTTTATGTTTCAGGGAGTCCATGAACCTACAGGTCCCACTAAGGCATTTATACAACTAGAAGAACTTGTAAAACTGGTAGTTTCCCCATACCTTGGTTTGTGTGAAGAACATTGCTTCCCTGGCAGTACCTGTGCCCTGGGTAAGGTGTAAAGTATTGAAAGGCCTGATATTTGGGTCCAGGGTAACTAGAGAATCCATGGAATCAGAAGAGAATTTCTTTTGTCTGCAACAAAGAGTCCACAAAAACATAGTATACACATTTTTTGCTCACATTTGAGTATTGCTTCATTTGATTATGTTATAAAACCCTGCAAAACATGTTTAGCAAGAGGCAATACCATAGGTTAAGAAAAAGAGTGTGTGTGTGTGTGTGTGTGTGAGAGAGAGAGAGAGAGAGAGAGACCTGCCATTTACAAATTGACTATAAACCAGCCATAGTCAAGGATGTGTAATCAATACTCAATGCTCGATGATACACAGAAACTGAGAGTGAAAGCTTAAATTATCCCTGTGCAGATACTAATCAATACAAACTTGCATTTAATTTGTGTACATGCAAAAAAAACCTTTCATTTTCTTTTTTTATGTCTAACTGAATGATAATAAGACAGTCATTTGCAAATATTTAAAAGCTAGTTAAAATCTGATTTACAAAAATAAATACCATTTTTAGCTGTGTTGTTTTCCTTTGGCTTTTAAATGAGCTTACCTAATCACTAAGTGTCTTTTCTGTTTTGTATGCCTACCCTTTGTTCCCTCTCCTCCTCCCCAGAATAGCTTATCTGATTGTTAGAAAAAAAATTATCTTTTGGGTTACATTAAATCAGAATGGCTGTGGACCGCTCCTTCCAGTGCATAGTGCTACATTGTGGGCAAGGAAATGACTGTAAATTGAATAAAGTCAGATTAATGTACTGTTTCAGTATGATTTTGGGCACAGATTGTTCCTGTCTTGCTGTCTGAGATTATTTCAATGAAAATAGCTAAAATTGGGATCTAGTCACAAAGCATGTGGTTTTCTTCAATGGATTTTCACAATTAGGGGAGCATAGTTTGTAGATTTATTTTAATATGATTCGATATGTAGTTTGTTCAGTGGAGAGAATGTAAGTTGCTTCCAATCTATCCAAGGTTAACCATTTCTCCCTGATTGTTCTGTTTCTTTGTCAATCTCTTAAGTCCAATTTGAAACCAAAGTTTCCTATCTTATGCAGGAGTTAGGTCTCTACTTGTGGATTCTTAGCGCCCAGTATTGGGTTGTTGCTCTTGTATGCCTATTTCCTTGGTGTCTTTAGTCAAGCAGAGCTCTGGGCTTCCTACTAGGTCTTGGCATTAACACCACACCAGAATAGTTTGTAAAACTGAGCAGCTGTAAATTCATGACTTCAATAAACGAGATGTTCCTGTCACAGTAAAAATATAATCAGTGCACTGTTTACAGCTAATAAAATTGTGACCCTTCTCCTTGAGAAGAAAAATAATACAAAGTGTACAGGGACTTGAGTAATAGTGAAATTGTTTACTTGAGGTGGCCATGTGCCTCTTGTGAAAGCATTCTGCTATCTTTCTATCTACCAATAAAACCAGGGTTTATTGTCATAAAACACATTTTATATACTCCATGACCTTCAAAGAATTATACATTCAGAATACTTAAACCAGGGTTTATTATTATAAAACACATTTTCTATACTCCATGACCTTCAAAGAATTATACATTCAGAATACTTACATTTGGTCCTCCATTTAGAGAACATGTGGGCCCCTATTATGCTTTGCATGTATACATTCAGAACATCCTTGGTGCTTTGCCAGCTGTAGCCCTGCATTTGGAGTTGACAGCTGTATAGAAATACTGAAATTATGCCTTTAGGGATAGAGCAGAAGTAGGCAATTTTTTGAGTCTCATTTGAAATTTACACAGTGGCTGATATGGAAGGCTGCTTGTTCTCAAAGCAGCTGCTGTGGTGAAAATGGCAAGTCACAAATCACCCCTTTATCACTAGTGCCTGACCACACTCTCATCCCAGTACAACCATCATGAAACTCAAGGGTATTCCTGTAAATGAGTTAGAGATGTATGTTTTTTATTGCTAACTTTCAATTTTATCTTGACTTCCAATGAGAGTGAGGAATATAAGAATTACATAAACCATAATTCCTAACTTGTTTTGATAATTACCTTCTCATACACTATCTAGCCTGATATTTTACAGTTTCATAAAGATCTTCCATCTTGTTATGTTTCAAGATGAAAGGAAAACAGAACATACCTGTACCTAAAAATGCTTCCCTGAACTCAATTAGCAGTTGATTCCCTTTATTTAAATGGATGAATAAAGGATGGGGAAAATGACTAAAATGATTTTGGTGTTTTAAAGGGAAGGTATAATTTTGAAGATTTGTATGTTGGGATCAACATTTATTGACCTTGAAAAAAATTAAGCATCCTATAGCATCTTGTGAGCAATGGCTACTAGGTTGTTTTTTTTTTTAAATTGATGGATGTATATTTTTAGCAAGTGACCAAAGGTTAGCTTAGCAGAATCTCTTGCATTTTTCTTGCTCTCTAAATAGCAATTAAATATGTGACTGGGAAACAGAAGACATGAAGTTTGATCCCTTGAATAATGTTGAGATGTATGAAATAGCAGTGAAATGTTAAGACTTGCTTCAGACTTAAAAGTGAAATTGGAGCTAGAAAACGTTATCATTTCAGTGGATTTTAGGACCTAATTAGACACTTGAATGGAGCACATTACGCTTCACGGCTTCCAAACAGTATTTCCTAAAATAAATGTTATACGAAGTTCATCATCCTCTCTCCATATAAAGTTTAAATCACTGAACCGGAATGGGTGGGCAGAAATGCTGAATATTATATCAAGAAACATGTTTTTCTAATCCTAAATGCTACTGGAATAGATTAATGGTTGAGACATCTTTAGGCCCTTAAAGTTAATGCACACAGTCTCTGTTCAGCATAATTGTTGACAGTTGAACAACATCTCCACCTATTGGATATTGAAGAAAAATATCCAGTACTTTTCATTTTGAAATAGTTCAGTGCATTTTGGATGAAAGTGTCAAAAGACTTATAATGATGGATGATGCCATATACACTCTTCTCACAAGGCGAGACCATAAACATTCCATGGGTCATGTTTACTTGAGTCCCAACATAAGGAAAGATGTGCCTGGCATCTAAGGTGTGTTCATTATTTCCAATAATTGATGACTAGAGAGCAACAGTTAAAATAGAAAAGGGGCAACTAAATGGTTCAAAATAGGGAAAGGTGTGCATCATATAAATAATGTGACAGTGAATGTTTAATTTATATGCAGAACATGTCATGAAAAATGCTGGAGTAGAAGAAAATAAAATCAAAATTGCTGGGAGAAGCAATAGCAGATTTTGGTATGCTGATCATATCAGACTGCTCAGTGGAATCCTTAACAATGGAACTAAAGTCTAAATATTACCTAATGCAAAAGCAAGAGTCAGTGGAGAAGATTGTTAGCTTCAAAAGAAGTTGACAGAAGATAGGGTGACTAGATGATAACATAAGCATGTGCTTAGAGGAACTCAGTTACTGAGTAATAGTTCTGAAGAAACAGGATGTTCATTATGTCACAAAACAGTGGATGCAAATGAATGATTATTCAGTAACAACTAAAAGGTCACATGGCAGGAATCTGTGGCATAGCATTCAGTTTGGCTTGTATACCAACTGTTGTGAGATCACTTAGGTGAGATGGGCAGCCATACACATTGAATAAATAAATTATAAATATTTGAACTGTGAAAAACATACCCATTTCCCTTGGGCATCTTAGGAGAAATTTCCTACATTTTTTTGCAGGAAACCCTTTTTCCTTTGTTGTAACATCTCATCTATGTTTCATTGATTTCCCAATTTTCCGGTTCTATTAATTTCCATTCTAGCCAGTCAGCAATTTTTTATTTTTATATTTTCTCTAGTCTGTGAGTTGAGTTCAGATTTATTCGTGACTCCTGCTTTTCAGATGTGTTTTTAAGTTCTTGCTGTTGTAGTTTTATACTGCATTTATTTATTTGACTTCTGAAGTGGTAAACAATAGTATAATTGTATACATAGACATTATATATCTGTTGTGTAGTAGCAAATGTAGTACAAAAAATTAAACCAGCCAACTAATTGGAGCAATATAATTATTGGCATGCTCTCTTGTAATTACTGTAAAATAAATCAGTGTTAAACAATATAGATATAGGTAATTTTTCATCGTTTCGAGTCTTGGAAAGGCAATATGTGCAATGGGTACGGTTTCTGCATACGTTCCTTAAAGACCACTAGAATAGTTTCCTAAGATGCTTTTTTTCAATTAAAAAAGATTTATTTGCAAACTAGAATGATGCAAAATGAAATACAAACTCGTGGTATCATTCTTTTTTGCAAAGTGCAGTAGGGTCTATTTAGATGATTTTTAAAAAAAAACATCAAGGAAGGAGTAATTTACTTACTATTAAGGAGGCATTTTGGGACAGACCAAATCAGAAAATACTGTCTACCTGAACTCTGGGTGTTTTCTTTTCTCAAACACTGTAACATTTTCATAGATGCCAATCTCTAAATGACCAGTTAAGTATATTGTAGTTTCTGGAGGAGAGTTTAAAAATGGGATGGTTCTCCACTGCAGCAGTACAAGAGAGTAGTGAGGTGAGCTTAATTATACTGGCAGTAGCTGAGCATGAGATCAAAGGAACGTCTGGTCCTTCTTCAGTTTGTATAACAGTAATTGTGAAACACATTTATATTTATTGGTTCATTTAGAGTGGAATCTGGCCATAGTATTTCTGCTGGGAAGATTAAAAAACAATAATAGGCATTTGTTGCTAATGGCTTATCAGCTGATATGAACTCAGTTCATTTTTTTCTTTCAATTTGCTATAGGGGTTTGTAGTGTTTGTTGCAGAAAATATTCATGGTGGCTAGCTGTAGTAAACAGGATTATGGAACAAAGCCTGCAGTGTTTGTTTCCTCCTGACTATTCCTGTCTGGCCACCATGATACTTTTGAATGCATTTTTCCCCCAACTGCTTTTTTATAGTTATTGCTCCAGATTGGAATGACTTTTTGGAAACAATGAGTTGACAAG